CTACGATCTGATGTTTACAGACGTTTACTGCTAAGAAAATCATTAAACAGCGGTCAGAGACAGCCTCCCGGGCTCATCTTAAAAAATCTTACACACGACTTCTGGCTATATCATATTATTTTCCTTTAAGTTTCAAAGTCTTCTTCCACTTCAGGTAGATTATCCTTCACTTGAGTTCTTTTTTCGCCATCACAAGGTTTCATATTGGTTGAATATTTCTTTTAAATGTGAAGAGAAGCAACCTTTACTTCTCCGAAAATCGCCTTCTTTATCTTAGTTTCTATCTCCTGCTTTCACAGTGGCCGCTCAACACATCAAATACAAGCTCATAGGTAAACCTCTCATGTAAGTAGAAAAAAATCCTCGCGCTGCCATCTTTGTCTTAAATTTTCGTCTTTTAATCTCACGCTTCTTTTGCACGTTTCTCTCGCGCATGACGCAAGAGTTATCTGTTTCCCGCACGAGGAAACTAGTACGAGCCACCTTAAACAGCCTTGTTTTGATCTGAAGTCCATTCTGCTTTTATTGAGGGGCTAATTGCAAGCTAGTATACAGGGTCTGTATGTTCAGATGACTTTGAAAAAGCAAGTTCTAAAGCTTATGACATCGCAGCAAAGTTGACCAACCAGTTTTCAGGAAATAGACTTGGAACAATCGACTATGAAAAAACTCCTCGTATGATTGTAATGATGAATTCAGTCAGTGCTTTCTAAATGAGTCCTTTGCAAGACTTGCAATTTTTACATGTACCTAACTTGTATGATCATCCTACATGTGCTACATGAATGTGATCAAAGTATTTTTTGCCTTGTAAGGCAAAAAAAAGTTCCAAATAAAATGACCCTAAATTTTGCATCAGTCATGGATACATGTATCTCCAAATGATGATTGTCTTTCTCTCACCCTTTTCCTGCACAAGCTCTCTGGCAACTTCTAATTTGAACAGGTCCACGCTTTGCTTATCATCGGGATGATGAAACAAAAGAAGAAACGGAATACCCTCCTCAGTGAGTTCTTCAGCATTCTCAAAAGTTATTTCTCTGACCAGAGGAATGCACTTGTCTGAAATCCAACTCTTCATGAGTTCATAGTTGCGAAGATCTCCCATGTAAACCATTTCTCCTTCAGCACCTCTCTAGAAACAACAACAACAACAACAAAGAAAAATAATAAACACGTGTGTATAGTCTTAAAGTCAGTAGCTTACTATGAAAACTTAGTTGAGATGAAGTTTAACTTTTGCACTTATTCAAACAAAGATCAGCTCTCAGAAACAGCTTCTATGTATCAATGAGATTCATCTAATTTAAGGGACAACATTCTGTTACAAGGAAGAAGATTTGTACTAAAGTATCACCTGCATCATGATGTGAATATAAGATGCAGACACCAAAATGTCTAGTTTCCTATCAAAACTCTTCTTACATGTACTTGAGTGATTTAATACTTTCTGATCTGCAAACTCAAAACACCTAATACTAGTCTTGAAACCTATTTCAAAAGACTGGGCAATATCAATTTTTCAATGGGATTTCATGTCATTTATCCTATATCCACTCACATGTTGAGGCCTGAAGACAATATTTTCTCCTGTCTGTCTTTCTTTGAGAGAAGCATCCCTAAAAAAAAAAAAAAAAAT